CCGCCAATTCTCAAGGTGCAGCACTCGCGACGGTACCAAGGGCGTCGGTACCATACGAAACAACTTTCGATGGTAGAGAACAAGTAACAAGTAAGTGACAGAGCGCAGAAAAGTAGCGCGTTCGGCTACGGTGAGGCGGATGGCTCACCGCGCGGCAGCGGGCATGTAGTCGGCACACGGTTATAACTATTCGCGGGCTTCCCCCGGCACATTTGTGCGGAGAAAGTGGCACGCTACCATAACTGCGTGCCCATTCACTCGCACATGGAATCTGCCGTCAGCGAAGGTGACTGCCCAGTTCGCCTTTGAGCTGTGGCTCACCGTAATAGCAGTATTTTCATCCGTCAAAGCCAACTGCACACCATCCACAGCAATACGCATCTGGCGATACTTCAGCCTGAAACATTCCACCTTTTACAATGATCCTGTAGACTTAGGTCCAGCTCATATGCAGCAGATACAAGCACTGCATACCTTTCTTCTGACTCGCATGGGCGACCTGGTTGTGATCCTACCGAGCAGACTGTACTTGTTTGCCCATGCTGGCAAAACTTGAACCTGTCTGGGACAATTTTTGCGTCATCCTTCGCAATAACCAACAACAGCAATGTGTCGAGAAAGTTAACCAGTGTGATAATCTGAATCATACTTGGCAATCGTATGAACTTCAAAAATTGTCAAAATATACAAAAGAAAGTCATATATGGGGATGAAAATGTACAGGAAAAAAAATAAACGCCTCAACGCTGACCTGAGATGGACTACCAAAACACCCTCCGACCTCACCAATCAGAATTTCTGTGAGCCAGCAGTACTCAACGACAGCCATATCCCATGGACAATCAACTGATGAGAACATTGCATGTCCTCTGAAAGTTGGTTCAGGATTTACAGACCAAAAAAGGTATATCATAGGCCAGAAATATTACTTGTAAGTACCTGAACTGCAATCCAGACAGAGTCAAGTACCCGTCATTCTGTGTAGAGGCTGCACGTTCGAAATACGCTGCACAAGGACCAACGCCAACCTTAAACAGCCACAATGACAATTACACAGACAATCATCGGCTACTCAAAGATGCAAATACCGCATTGGAAAGGCCAGAGGGCACAGGTACAGGGCAGATACCGCCTCTTCACAAGAGTAGTTCAGGTCTCCAAAAAAACATTCCCCGATTAAAACTCGCTGTGGGGACTTAGTATGAGTTCGCAGATGCTAACTGACTCATCGAAGAGGAAAAAATGGAAAGAAGTGTCAAAAACACCCGAGGATAGGACGAATATTTGAAGAAGTTAGGCATTGCTGTGAAGGCGAGAGACCAGAGACAACGGAGGACGGTGAGTTGGAAGACAGGTCATCTAGGAAAGTTGGAAGACAGGTTTTACGGAAAGCATGGAATGCGTAAAATTCGTGCTCAAAGATGTAAGATCGCTGGCATATCTCCGAGTGAGGCCACTTTAAGGATGGTATCTCTCCGGCTTTGGCTGCGTTCAGACTTGGCGATGATGCGCTACTATCGCAATAGCGCTCCACTTTGATGGACGGGGTGGCAGGCAACCAGTGCTTTGGGAGAGCAAAGGAGAGCAGGAGAGTACCAGATTGTGTGCTAGAGTATTGAAGAGTAGGCAGTAGAACATGAGGCAGATCGTGAATTCTCCTAATCTCCTCTACTCAAAACACTATTGCACACTGGTATTCCCCTATTATCCTACGCACTCCCGGAACATCAGCGGTCGGTCTGCATTTCTATGGCTGCATTCCCCTTTTGAAGAACTGGAGCGCAGCTACAACGACAGCGCTACGACGCCGTAGCATGTCGACGAAAGTCACCGCGAAGTGTGAACGCAAACGCAGCTTTTATATGACCACATGGCCTCCGCCATTCGGAAGGCGCCGCGGAAGGAGGTCTGAGAAATCGCGTGCGCAACGGACCACTTAAAGAAGGAAGAAATTCGACCTATAGGAATTTCGTGAAAATTCGCTTGCTTTCTTCTCAGCGCTTCAGTAACATACGTATGCACAGAGTTCGAATGAAAAAAAATATAACTATCTTTTCTAGAGGAGTTCCTCGTGAATACAACGAACCTGTATTATGGTTTCTTTGAAACCCTTCTTTATCACAACAGCAATCTCTTCTGTATACAAAACCGGGCAGAAACCTGAAGTGGACGATTCCTTCTTGCAATCAGTATAAACATGAACAGATGACAACAAATTCTTAGTCGCTATTTGAAATAGACCAACGCTTTTCTCAAGAAATCACAAAAAAGATCCGAACAGATGATACTGGTTGTGAGCCTGGTCTATGCGAACTTACAGTTCGAGCTTGAAACGAAAAAAAGCAAAAAGTGAAATCATGATTATTGAGAAAATATTAAGGAAATCAACGAACTCTTTTCCTCTGACAACGACGCATAGGTCAGACAGTGAGCTCTGATGTTGAACACTCTGAGATCGAATATAACCTCCATTGGTCTATAGGCTTCCACAGGGGCATTCGGAGGTACTCGATTATATATGGATCGTGTCGTTACATTCGCTTCGGGATGTGTGACGTCAGTCATCTGAACTTGGGAGATACATCATTTGGGGATCCATTCAAGAAACAGGTTGTTCTCGAACATGTTGCCATATCTTTGAAGCCTTCGCTAATAAGATGAAAGCACATTGCACGCTGTTTCGGATGGTATGGGATATGGGTTTGCTGGCTCTACCTTGCACCTCCTCCGTTGGTGCACCCTCCACTTTCCAACACAGTAAAGGGGAGGGGACCCGCGGGAAGGTGTTATGGTATGCTACGCCCCGCCTATTCTACTATGGGGCATGTGCCTTTGAACTCCAGGAATAGACTTTTCCAGACATCCTTCCCTTCTAAAACCACACTCTTTATAGATAAGTGAGAGGCCAGTGCAAAACTAATGACCAACTCTGATGGCTTCGAAACCTCTGCAAGGTCTTTATTCAAAATATTGTATACCCTTTGTTTTGCACTACTACACTACTGCCCCTTTTTGGGCGCTAAACTCAAAAGCTCATGGACTGGAGAGGCTTGGTGCCGAAACAAACGTCTGCCTCGGTCTGTGGGAAGTAGGTTGCTCGACGTCCTAGAAAGTTCATCATATCGTTATCACCGAAGTCAGTCCGGGTGTGTCACCGACACGAAAATTTTGAGGGCGACGTTATCCCTTTTCCTCACCACCCACGGAACGCCCGGAGATGCAACGATCGATAGAAACAGTCTGGAACCGAGCCAAAGCCCACGAACTGCTCACACACCCTGAGAGATTAGTGTTCATACTCTTTCGCTGCGGATGATGGGGCATTTTAGGTGGGATGGGTATGGCGTGTCAACCCGTCTGCCACCGGTTGTTGAAGCGAGCAAGCGACAACACTATCGTATCATTCGTATCCGGTTGTTCCAGTCGTTCTCTACCAAATCTTGTCGTCCTACGCGCTCGAACAATCTGAAGGAGAACGAGGTAGCCGCGCGCTGAACTCAGCCTCACTGACACGCCCCACCATAAGCAGCGAACAAGACCATAGATCACACAACTTTCCTATCAAACGAATTTGAAGGGCTAGTCCTGAAGCGGTCAGCATTCTTATGATAGAAGCTTGATTCCACACCGACACTATGTTAAAGTAGTGTTGGGTACATTGGAGGCCTTTTCGGCTTCATGCAGAACGTAGAGTCTTCTATGAAAGCAAAACTGTAAAGAAAAACCAACTGATCCACTGACCGAATCATATAATCCAAAGTAGTTATTCTTCAATTCGATCACGCATTTAATCAACGATCCAGTGAACATCACCTCTGAGCCACCAATTTCCATCTTCACATTCATTTTATCGGGTGGAAGCTGAAAAGTGCTATGAAAACACGTGCTAAAGAAAAAAAGGAAAAATGTCAGCCATTTCAGGGCATTTCACTCAGCACTGGGTTGTTCATAAACTCACGTCTTTAGGATGTTCAACTGGCTTCGGCAAAAACTCTTGAAGTACATGTAACGGTAGATCCGAGGCAATTCTGGACACGTTAGGATGATACGTGTACTCAATAACACATATTACGCTTTCCGTACGCCATATCTCATGCCATTCCTCCTGAACAAGTATTATACAGAGGGCACGCCATCACGAGCGGAAAATTTTCGCTGAGTACGATTCCCCTCCCCCTTCTCCAATTTTCTCGCTCGTTGTGATCCCCTTTCACAACCTATCTACCTTCTTGCCAACGTTTCCCTAAATTTTATCGTCTAGCGGCGTGGGAGATGGGAAGTTTCTGATATCAGAGATGAGGCGGGTCGCACGTCGGGTATCCTTAGCGAGGGGACGAGGGTCGTATATGGTCGTTAGGAGGGGGATCGTGTTCGCCTCTGAGGAAGCTGCTTCTCGCTCTTGACCTGTCTCAATTTTTCGACACGTCCCTGTCTCTGATAGTAGATCAGGAACTTCCCATCCCTTCCCCCGCTGGAAAACAGCTTAATGGGGAAAATGAGTAGAATATGGAATGAAAACCTGGAAAAGTGGCCGGAAGCTGGGAAAACTTAGAACTTGGAGGTCAGATGGGAGTCGTACCAGAAGAAGAAACTTGGGAGGGATCGTATTTTGCAAAAATCTTCTCTACCGGCACCTGCCCTATTCAGAAATGGTAGTTTCGATGCGTCGCCAGTGAGGGATGGGGAAGGGGGAGGAGGGCGCGGGGAAGCAGCAAATAGAGAAATTTTCTCGTGGCAAAATACAACCACCTTCCCAGCTCTCAAAAATGGCCCCCGTTGAGTTTT